AATAATATATATTTATATTGTATTAGCAGGGTAGTGCAGCGTTGCAGTGGTACAGTAAGGTAAGTTACTTTGTACCTACAATTCAGGCACATTAGTTACGTCCTGTTAGTGCCATAAAATGTTCATTAGAACATCCAAAAGCAGCACAAAAGTCTGGCATTCTCTTTTATTTGAACTGTCCAGATCTTCGCTACAAACTCCAAGGGAGCAGTCAGGTGCAGGACTGAGTAATACAGACGTTAGCCAGAGACTTATGGAAAACTGGGCCTAAACATTTATTTCATCATCACATCGTCTTTGGATTTGCTGCTGGCAGCTGTGATTGGAAATTTTTGTCCAGCTTTCAATGTAAATTTTGGATGCAAAATTTCCACCTGAATAATTATTTTGAAGCAGGATGAACCTGTGTTAACTATAACCTCTCTCTCTCTGTTGTTGTGTTTAGATGTATCTGTCTGACTTTAAGTATAAAAACACTGACCAGAATGACCTCTGGGAATACATACAAAAGGTAAACTTAGATAATCTTAGATTTTGTCAGTTTATTTTACGTCATATTTTTGCCGCATGTCTTGTTTAATAAAACAATACATGTCATAGTCTGAATAATTATTGATCAGATTATGGTATGTATATCATAAAATATTAACTGACTTGTGCCATGTTTGCAGGCTGTAAATGACGATAGTGGTCACACCAACGTTGCTGAACTGATGGGTACCTGGGTCAACCAAATTGGCTATCCTGTCATCACTATCAACACAACCAATGGAGAAATCTATCAGAAGCAGTTCCTTTTCAATGACTCATCCGAATCTATGTATGTGCTACACAGTTTTTAAAGCTGAGGGCAATAATGTTAATGATATGAGTCAACATGTCTCAGATTCTAGAGATTTCTCATTCACACTGATTTTCCTAATAACAGAATTATACAATAGACCAGTGTCTTTACATTTATGAAAATGCTAATTTATTAATCTTATTGAGTAAGAATAAGTACATATTTAGAACACATAGATTTACATCTTTAGCATGAAAGGAAACGATGGAAGAAATCACAACAGCAAAGGAAAGAAAGAACTATATGATTGGTGTATTTATCGATTTTTAAAAGCAATATAGTTCATCATGACATATTACACATGCATACTCCAAATTACATACATTTGATATTAGTGGGATAGGTTATAAATGGTTAAATAGATTTTTACAGATAGCTGTTAGTAGATCGGAATGTAGGAAGGTTAAATGTGGAGTTCTACTGGGTCCTACACTTTCCCATTATGTAAAATCGATATTTTTAAATGAACAATGGATCAAATGACTATATGTAATGTGAAAGGTGTTGTTCACATTCATGAACCCACAGAAAATTATTACCCAACTCTGCAGTTCCCTCAGCTTTACAGAGCTCTTGTGTGTCTTTCAGCTCATGGTTTTGGTTTCCCAGCACGCAATGTTTTTGGTTCAGTCTCACCGCTCTCATCCGCGATGTTTCTAAAGGCAGCAGGCGACTGCTTTCAGTGTAGAAACTCTAAATAAAACCCCCGTACACTACCTGTCCAGCACTAAACAGCAGGTGGACAAAGTTAGTGACTAGCTTGTTTATGTAGTGGAGAATTTAGCTTTGCATGTACGTATCAGGTGGACAGAAACATGACTCAGAATGCTAATGAATAGATTCACACACAATGAACATATAAATAGGCAACTGATTGCTAATTATCCATAACAACTTTATAAGTTCATAATATTACAATAATATGCCAAGTGGCCAATATAATAATGTTTGTAATATTTTCCCATTTTAGATTAAACAGAACAATAGTTTTTGGTCAACATGAGACACCAGTGTGAAGGATTGTGTCAAAGTTCCCATTCTGTTTGTCAACAGTTTAGATGGGGTTGTCACTTGTAATACTGAACAATGCAAACCCTTGGTAGAAATTGTGAGCAAATGTATTATGGGAAGAAATTCTGCTCAAAAACTGGTTCCGGAATAATGACTTCCTCCATCGGACATTTTACATCTTGGGTGTGACTGCAACCCATTCGGGCTAGATTAGAGAAGATCCTTTGCCTTCTATCCAAAGGCCAAAGTTGGATCATAAAATCTGTCCTTCAACCACTTTACAGTGTCTACCTCCCTTTGAGAATAGTTGTCATCAAATAATTAAAGAGTCCATTTCTTGTGTCTGTTTCAGTTGGCAAAATACAGTAAGTTACTGCATCACTGTCACCTTGTTAACCAAGTATTTCACTGCCAGGCCTGCATGAAAACACTGCAGACGATTACTGTAAATTATACCTTTGGCCATGTGGAGTGTTTTGAAACAATGTTTTGTAACTATGTGCTCCATAACACATGTCATAGGGAGTTGCACAATAATTAAACCTGTTTAAGTTGCTTCGGTCATATCCATACCATAATAGCTCTGGACTCTGGCATGATGATATTGCAGACATCTGTTTTTATAAAGGAGACTAGATTTCACACTCCATTTACAGATTACCGTGCCTTTGTCACTTTTTACTAAAAAGGCTTCTTGATTGTTAGATTGTTATTTTGACTCTTCCTCCCTCGCTGTATAGATGCTGAATAACCATTTCCTAGATCCTGAGCATCCTAACCATCTCTTAACATGTGCTTATTATACACTGTTCTTTGTCTATTTTTTCTGCCTGTTTAGTCTTTGGTGGCACATCCCAATCACAGTCATGTCAGATACATCTGAACCGTCTTCTGAATGGTTGACAAGCAGCGAAATAGGTAACAGAAAATACAACACAGAGCTTTGGAATTTTTGGACCAGATGACCAGATACACAAGATAACCTTTTCTTAGTTATGGTTTTTATTTGTCTTTATACTATGCCTACTTTATACTAGGCCTATTGGCATTTGACCAATATTTGTCCTTTGAACAGAAAAGAAAGAAAAATTCATTTCTAAGAGTGGAGAGTGGATCCTGGCAAATGTCAACTGTACTGGATACTACAGAGTCAATTACAACCCAGAGAACTGGCAACGCCTCCTGAATCAGCTAGAGACAAATCCAAAAGTGAGTACTGAGCCAAATAATGAGTTAGCAAATCACAGAGAAGAGCTAAAACCAACCTCTACATATTGTTAATTTGTTCTCTTGTCTTGTCTGTTGTTAACACACTTCCTTGGTTGTTAATTTAGTCTTATGTTACTATTAACAACTAGACAGTGGACACACTTTTGGTTTGTAGTGTTTCTAGCAAGGTAGGCTGTTCTAGTTTAGACAGTAAACCTGGATTGAGTGCGGCCAGTTGGAGCCAAAAAAAACACTGTAGTGATCATTCTGCTCTGTGTACTCACAACAGAGGGAGAAAAATATTTAATATAAATCTTGCACCATCTTGTATCATCACCAAAACTCACAATGGCAGCTGAATTGTGTGGCTAAAAGAAACCAGACTACTTAGAGCCTTTGCCCTGATTATGAACTACAGGAATTATGTTGACTCCAAAATGTGTACCTGATTTCTTGAACTTGACTCTTTCCAAGTGCTAATTACCACAAACAATTCTATGTGCTGTCATAGACATCCATTAGACAAAAAAAGAACCAAATTCACCGACAGAACTAGCCCGGCCCCTTTTAAAAAGATGGTTTCCCTAAAGTGGCGGGCCAACTGCCTGACAGTCTTAGCCATCCCTTGAGCCACTGTGTTAACACAACTAAAAGACACTTGACCATGGAATTACATGGCACCTTGAAACAGGTCTTTTAGAAATTACTAATGCAGAAACAAATCATAAACTCACATTGTTGGGTTAATATCTGATTTTAAAAACTTATACGTTCAATGTAATAAATAGAAATTGATTTGGTTCAATGTCTTATTTTGCATTTTCCCCTATGGCACTCAAGTCATCATTTCCTGCTCTAATGCTTTGCTGTTGGTAAATTAGTCTTCATGCTTGGAATCTTCGTAAACTGAAATGTTAACTGTCCCTCATCTTGCGCTTGTTTTTCAGCGAATCCCACTGATGAACAGAGGGCAGCTCATTGATGATGCTTTTAACTTGGCGAGGTGATAACTTGGATTCAGTACATTCAGACTGCTACAAATCAATTTTCTGTCTGTTAAGTGTGTTGTGATTCTGTAATCGTAATGTGTCATACCTGAAAAAAACATGACTGAAACAAGGTCACGCTCATCTTACCAAATCCAATATCTGTATTCCTCAGGGCCAAACTTGTCAACGTGACTCTAGCTCTGAATTCAACCCGCTTCCTTCGGAATGAGACAGCGTACCTTCCCTGGGAATCAGCAGTCAGGAACCTTGACTACTTTGTCCTCATGTTTGACCGCTCCGAGGTGTATGGACCCATGCAGGCATGTGTTGTTCCTTCTTATCTTGTGACATTCAAAGTGAAATATGTATCTTGCTTTATTACATTACTAACTAAACTGACCTGTGTTGGATGGAGAAGGTGGATTTAACAGACTAAATTTGATTTCCTGCTGGTATCAATGTGCAGTAAAAATGTAATATTGCTGCGTGTGTTCCTGAAATTCCACTGTAAAGCTGATTCTTCCTGCAGATGTACCTCCGGGAACAGGTTAAGGGCCTCTACAACTTCTTCAGGAACTACACAGATAATTCAGAAGTCCCAAATGACCACTCCTTACAGTAAGGAAAGATGAATTTTACTGATCCATTGGGGATAATATAATTTAATGCGCAACAGATTCTCACATTTGCTGTTTACACTCACTGTCCAGTCCACGAGTGCCAATGCAGAGCAGATATGTGTGTTTGCATTCTTCACATCAGTTACAGATATGCTAGTGACAGAGGTGTAGTGCGGACTGCTAATATCGCAAATTAATGAATTAATCAAATTCACATTTAACAACACTGTCAATACTGTGAAATACCATTAATTAAAATTAACAATGAATCAAATAACTAAAATGAAAGGTGTCGCTTATAGCGACAACCCCCCCCCCCAAATTTTTTCTCTTGCTCCCATTCCCACTCTTTTTATTCAACTGATAACTTATATACCCAAGTTCAATCAACTCATACATGTCTGACAAAAGTCTCAAATAGGCAACACAATGAATTAATACAAGTTTAACTTCTGAAGACTCATATAGTTGAGTTCAGGTTTCACAACTTGTTAGAGTTTGTCAGAGAAAATAATCTTAACTCAGGTTGCCCTTGCTAGCTTTTTCAACGCTTTCAATGGCATCTCTCAGTCTTCTTCAGAATGCATAACATTATATTTAATGTCATTTAATACCTGTAAACTTATTATATACCATGAAATTGTGCTTAATTCCAAGACACAACCAGATCACCGCCATAGAAGTGGCGTGCTCCAATGGACTCCCAGAATGCATAGAGATGGCTACAAAGATGTATGCCACCTGGATGAACAGTAACAACACCAACAAGTATGGACACTACTGGATAAGTATATATCATTTGGAATTTGAATTATCTCAAACATGGCACATGATCTTATTGGTTTCTCCCACAAAATGGTCTCGCTGTAATAGCTTTCAATGTATTCTGTGGTGTTACTCTCCAGGATTTAGTAAGGGTAGGTGTCATTTAATCACTTTTTATCACATGTGATTGTGTGTGAGGCTGTTGTTTCCACTCTGCAATGTGGTTCTTGTCTTTAAAGTTGCTCCTGTTATGATTTTAATGCTAAGATGCGCTCTAATCCTAAATCACACACAGGGAAGGCCATGGCGAACATGATCCTGTTCCTGCTCTTTGAGGATGTGTTTGCCAAAACAAACCTCCAGTTACAGTTACTTTTACTTACCTTTCGGAATCAGTAAAATTTTCAGGGGCAACTTTAAAATAGAGGGACATTGACTCTTCAATAAATGTGTATACTGTTATATGCTCATTACCTCTACACATGCATGGACTGCATGAAACTGTGTTAATGCATTCACACTTGCATTTGTATGCGAATGAAAATGTTAAGTGTGTCAAATGTGCTGATAGGCAGGAAAATGTAATTTCAACCATCCAGAACAACCAAGAGAACTTGAAAAGGAGACAGTCTTGATGTATGGAAAATAACTTTGTGTATATGTGTGTGTGTGATTCAGCATTCACCCCAACCTGCGTTCTGTAATCTACTGCCAAGCTGTGGCTGCTGGCGGGAAGACAGAGTGGGAGTTTGCCTGGAATAAGTTTCAGAGCTCCAGCGACACCTCAGAGAGAAACCAGCTCCGGAAAGCTCTGTCTTGCACCAGAAAGATCTGGCTGCTCAACAGGTAAAGCCAGCGAACAGATCTAGGATCAAACCAGGATTAAACATCAAGTCCTGATGAATTATTTTTGTGTTATTTTTACTGTGTACATAATGACTCTTCCTTAATTACAGACACACCTGTGATAAGGTGCGTCCCAAACAAGTAGTTTATATTAAGTGAAGCGCTAGTCAGTGCCTTCTTTATCTTTCAGATACCTGGAATACACTCTGAACGCTGAGAAGATACGCCTCATGGATGTTGCTTCCACCATTAACTACATAGCCCAGAACGTGGTGGGGCAGGCACTGGCCTGGAACTTTATCAGAGCACACTGGGAATATGTCAGTTTAGGGTGGGTTGTTATTTGGACTCTATCTACTGCCTCTCATAAACATCCATTTTCTGAGTCATGAAAAAGTATCTGAGATTGTGTAGTTGGGTTTGACCAATATAGACTTGAAAAGGAAGACATGATGCTATGCTGGTTTGAGGTTGATAATGGGCAGTATTTTGCATCAGTGCTAAATTTTGCCAGTTTAATTCATCACAGATTTATAAGGAAATTAGAAGTATTCATGGTTTACCCCAGAACATATGTTTGTCAGGGTGGAGAAGCCAACCTTACACAGCAGTTAGATTTTGAGAACTCTGTGCTTAAACAGAAATGTAATTCTTTTTAGGGTGCACAACTCTTCCACCAATCTTCTTTTTCCCTTGGTGCTGGGTAGGTAGTGTACTTTGGACACAGTTTGTGGTCTGTAAATTCCAAACAATGAGCTAAAACAATGCTCTGTAGAGATGAGGGGAACTTCAGAGTTGTGATAATATTCTGTTTCATTGTAAATCTAAAAAAATATTGCTTTTAGCAGCTTTAAATAAACTTGGCCATTTTGGGAAATATGTGTGCTTGCCACTGAAGCCAAGGTGAGGTGAGAATAATAAATCTTAAAGTTGGACCATCTATGTTTTTATATCAATAGATCCTTTAGCAGTGTGTTAGTGACAAACCTAAAGAGAATTACTATATGACTGTGCAGTTCCCCTCAGCTCTACAGAGCCCTTTAGCTTCTTAAAGCTCATTCTTTAGTGTTTTTCTGTTTGGTTTAGTCTACCACCAACTACATTTCCAGCCACAACAGGAAGAATCCCACTGTACACTAACAGCCCAGCACCAAAAACAGAGAGACAAAGTCAGTACCTAGCTGAAAAAGAAACTCAGACATCTAGCAGGTCAGAGGTGGTGGTCAAAACAGAGATTTAGAAAAATAGAGTGAATATTAGCTTTGCATTTGTCAATTGCCCAGAAGCAAAAGTCATGATTTCTACTGATGTGAAAATGAGCCCTTGTTTCCCTTGACAAATTCATATGGTGATCATTTGTCCCAATGTGTCTTTTCAGCTTACCCCACTGGTCCCAGGTGGAAAAAAATAAAATAAATAATGCTGCTTTAAATCTCTGTGTGTCTAGTCCAGAGATAAATCAGGACACTTTTAGTCTAGCTTAGGCTTGGCTTAGGGTTGCTTAGTAGTATTGATTACATAGCTACATGATAAATAACATGCAATAATCTTTGCAAATATGCTGACAAACATGGGTTCATAGAGCAGTAAAAATATAGTGATGTGACATGATAGTGTTTTTATGTTGGTATAGTCATTGAAGAACGTCCACCACCTCACAGTATCTGTTGTAAAGTTAAAGGCCATTATCAGCCCCACAGTGAATCCATCCATCTAACTCTGAACACTGTATCGGCTTGCTCATGTTTTTCTTGGTTCAACAGCTCTGTCTGATGTCCTGATTTGAAGCCATGATCTGCCAACTGAGAACACAAACGTTTTGTTTTTTTCGTGATTTTTTTATGAACATACTGCTATTTGCTGCCTCGCCAATGAAATCTGAACCTGTTTACAGAGGCCTCTTGACACTGAAGCGAACTGAGGTCCAGTCACTTGAATAAACGAGCACTACCATAAAAGAATATGATAAACAGTGGCTTATAAAAATCTTGCACTGTGTCATCAAGTACAAAGGTCTTCTTATTTAGTGAGTGCTTATCATTAGCTCTCCTTCATAAAATCCCCACTGTTTGTGCCGTTACCAGGAAGCTAAATTGATCTTATCAAAGTTTAAATATACATAACAGACAGGGTTTCATTTCATGAGTACACAGTCACACCTGAGATCTAAATCAAGTAGATAGCGGGTATTAAAAAGGATATTTTAGTAAGTAAACCTGTTGTCTTTCAGAATGTAATCAAATTCATACTTGTTTACAGTATGCAGTTTATTAGGTCCACCAAGCTAAAACTAAGGCAGTTTAATGAACAGTCCTGCAAAGATGAAGGTTACAATATTTAGTTTTTGTTGTATTTCAGAAAGGTCATTTTAGAGGCTTCAGTATGTAGTGCTGTTGAATTTTACTGTGTTACACTAAAAAACTGTTTCAGTTATTTTGTTCAACCTGTCTGTATTTTTCTTCTGCCAGGGATGGAGCGATGCTGATCGAGGGAACGACAAGCAGGTTCTCGACACAATTTGAATTGGATGAGGTAATTAACTGATGTTTCATTAGGTCATAATGATAATACCAGCGTGCAAAGATGTCAAGTGGAAACTCCTGTCTTTCCAGTCACACACCAATAACTGATTTATATTACATTAAGTATCTTGATCCACCCTGATATCATATCAGAAGTCTTTCTTGTCATTGTGAGTTCTATGGATGACAGCGTGTTAGTTTTACCTCTGAGCCAAACCCCCAAATTTCTCTCGCTAGGCCATTTCTTATTTATAGTTTAAATGACAAGGCTGGTTAAATTCTATATTTTTTGTTTCTGTCAACAAATTCCATGAAAAGATGAAATCCATCTATGAATGTATCCTACTAAGTATTGTGTGTGTATCCAAAGCCGCATTTTCCTTATTATTCTGTGTCATAGAGCTCTATTGTTTTTAGCAAATGTTACTCAAATAGTAGTAAAGAGTACATTTTTGTTGGACTATATTCAGCTGTGGATTGATACAAATTTCTGCACTGGTGAGTTGTTACAGCAGCAGTGTTGGATTGAGTCAAAATCAACAACAGTGTGTGTTTATGGTAATGAAGGAACATGTTACTCAGTTCAACAGTGTGACTCACTGATGTGTTTTTAATAGTTTTTGGATAACAATGTAGCTCTATGGCACAGAGGAAGTAGATAAATCAGAGTAATCAGGCTTCGGCTACACAGGCAGTACTTAAGAGTAGGATCAATTTATTTTAGTCTTTCATGTGCATCTGGTTCACAAAGCAATTTGCTTGTACTTCTGAAATACAACCTGCAGGATTTACTTTGCTGTGTATGATTGTAATATACTGTGTTTATAAGAATTAAAGTTTACATTGAATAATTCAGTAAAAATAAACTTTTTCAGTATAGAAGAAAGTAATTAGAAAAGTTTTTGAGACCCCCTCAAAAGTTTAATTTTGGGGGTTATGGGTGGCTGTAAGCCCTTAATTACTGTTGTTATGCTAGCAAGCTTTCCATTCTCACATGGTACATAACATGTGGGCTGTGTCCAAAATCCCCACTCATTCACTACTCCCTACCCTCTATGTATGGAGTTGTATGTAGAGGACTATATAGTGAGCTCACTCGCGTTATTAAAACAAGACTTTCAGACACTATCCTGATCGTTATTTCGGCACCGTTAATTGCGTCATTGCCTTCGGACAATCAGTTTTTTCTATCAGCGCAATGTATGATGGTATATGGCTTGGTTAGTGACCATCGGTTGTTCACTACTTTTCCAAATGCATTCTGGGGTACATTGAGTGGACTATATAGGGTATAATAACTCAAACTACTAACTAACTAACTACAAAATGGTAAGCTAAGCTGGGTAATTTCGGACACAGTCGTGGTCAATTACCACTCGAAATTCTATTTGTTTTTTAAATGGGTCTTTGATTTCTGACAGGAGCAGACAAACGCAGTTTTGTCATTTTTTCAGATGTGTCTGGTTTTATCAGCTGTAGCTAGCTAGCTAATTGAGCTACAGTCAGCTGTGGCTGACTTTTTAACATTTGCAGCTGTTTTCAGACCTTTCCCCTGGTCATGGCTACATGATATCACACTTAATGACTGAGGCTAAAGCTACATTTCCCAGCATGTCATCTCACTAGTTGATGGTCCATGTAGAGGACATTGAAGTTTTTGTAACCTGCAGCACCACGAAATAATGTATTATGAAATGCTCCCTGATCGGGATATTTCCCACTCAGTGACAGGAAAAATATAAATTAATGCCCAGCCTTGTGTTTTAGTATGCTACTGTTGCTTAGCTGCAATGTGCATTCACTAAAGAAACAAGTGGGAGACCTTATCAATGAGTTCCTATCTTATAATTATGACAGAACTATAAGACTCATAGTTCCTCATAACTGTGAGATCAGGCCTCCATTTCTTTTCTTTGGTGAATGCAAAGCACTTACAAAGAAATGCTCTAACATCATTATATCATCTGTGTGTGTGAACAGCTGGATCGTTTTGAGACGGACTATGATCTGGGTCCTGCTACCAGGGCGGTGCAGCAGGCCAAAGAGCAAACCCAAGTCAACATCCAGTGGGTCAACAAGAACAAAGATATTATACTAGAGTGGTTCGAAACAGAAACAGCTTTGTAGAGTGGAAAAAAAGCGTCCATGTTTCAGAGCCTCACAGATCAGCGGTGCTAGCAGTTTTTGATTCTGCAGCTGAGTCCTTGTAAGACTTTCTCCACCAAATCCACTTCAAAAACAAGAACCAATCAAGAGGGAATCTCGCTTTGTCAGGAAAATGGACTAGAGAAATGATCGTAAAATGAGAGATTCAATTTCCTACCAAACAATTTACCAAGCTGAACCGTGACTGTGCAGCACATAAGACTGATACAGAGTAGAGAACTGATTCTACTGTACTGAGTTCATGAGAGAGATGTGCACCTAAGACCAAAGTGAAAATGCAGTGTTTTGTATAGACTCGTGCAATATTTATACAGTATATTCAATGCGAACAGTCAAAGTAACAAGATACTTATGCAGCATAGTCCAACTTTAAAGATAGTTGTATGTTTGAAAAAGATTATAACATATTTACATTTAGAAATCTTGTTCTTGTTGCCCATTATTAAAATAATTTTATGATAAAAACGTTGTGCAATGTTTTTATAGTGGAAAGTGGACTGAAACTTTAATTGGTGATATAAAGCTCCTAGCAAAGGAAAAAATGAATTGCAACAGCTAAAATTTACCAGCATATTGATGCTACCAATTTCCATACCAGCTCAACATTTGCACATGTCAGAGCCAAAGGACAGAACCTGCTCTGTTTGTTGTAATGCCCATATGTGTTGTACTCAAGGAACCAAATTATTCTTGTATGTTGCTGAAATATTTAATAATAAAACTTTGGCATTGTGTTAATCCTGTGTTAAGTCCTTTAATCCAGCATGTATCATTTTGGTTTTACCTGGTCAAAATAATACAGGTCTTATTTAACTTTGGAATGCTATATATAAAAAGATCTTTCTGAATGATTTTACAGTACAAAGGTGACTGTTGTCTGTAAGGTTTAATATGAGTCTTCCACTACACATAAAATCATTTAGATGGCATACTAGCCAAGAAAGAATAATCCCCTGTGATAAATATTACAAGTGCAAGCGGAGCATTTCCAAATACTTCAGTTGTTACACAGAAATAAACTCAAAACTACACTTTAAAATACAGTCTGTCTCTCTAAACAGGACTTAAGTTACAGTATGGAAGTGTGCTGAAAAACAAGAGGGACTGCAATTAATCCCATGTTATGCAGAAATATCACACATATGCACCCTGGATTACACTTGGGACACAAACAGGAAAGAGTAAAAGAACAAGCAAAGAAAGAGAAAAATGCAGAGCTCAAGTTCCAGTCATATAAACATATGGATCTAATCCAAAGAATACAAGACAATGGTAAAGTTTCAAAGACTCAGTCCGCATCACAGCTAACAGCCAGATACACTCTGTGGAGCTGAAAGAGTCTAGTCACATACTGTAGAAGTGACGCAAGGTTTCTGGCCCCAAGGCCACATATGTAAGAGGTTCAGTACCCCAGTGAAATGTCCAATCTAAAGTCAAAGACACAGGAATGGAGCCAAGTTGAAGCAGTTCAATTTGGAGACAAGAACAGGACCAACAGTTCCGGCTGACGGGGGAGTCGGTTTCCTTAATCGTCCTGAGAGAGAAACAAAGTGGGAGAAGTGAGACTTGTCTGGTTTCAGTTTGTCCAAGACATCACCTGCTGTGTATATATTCTAAACATCAGATGGAGCCACAGAGGGATTCTGCCCACTTCCTTGTAGTGCAAATGATAGCTTCTAGCTTGATCCATATCCATTCAAGTATCACGTGTACAAAGAGGTCAAGTTCCTTTACACAGTGCGTATATAATTATGAAAATGAAAAGCTTTCTTTTGCCTTATCTTTAAATGAGAGCAGCACGTGTTGCCTGTCCTGCAGAGAGTTGCAGGGAAGTTCTAAAGTGCAATCCAAATAACTAGGTAGCAGGAGCAAACTTAACCATTAGACAACGTCGGCAACTGCCTGGGCCCCTAAGTAAGAGGGCCCTAAATAGATACAGACACTACATATAATTATGTTAATATTCAAACTTAAATACATAATCTGCAATTACTTAGAAGTGCTTCTTTTACCATACTTTTCTTTAAATGCCTCATTTGTCTTGAGCTAACACTCATCATATGAGTAAATCCAAATCAAATACAAAAAATTATTTGTAAATTTCCAATCCAGGCTACCTCACAGGTATTAAAGTTGCAATGTGGTTACACCGTGTATGATATGGCCAGAATTTTACATTTTTAACATTTTAAAATGTGAAGAAGTAACAGTTGTGAGATGTCTATATTGGGTTGCAAAGATAAAGTTGGCATGCTAACCAGCTAGCCCCAACCCCCCCTTCTGTATATATGCTTGGATTTGATTTGGTAGGTGTCCTTACCCATTCATCCTCCTCTGCTCCCTCTCCTTCTCCTTTGGGCTTCTGAGTGCTGACAGCATCTGCTTTGTTGGCCATAATCATATCTGTCCACGATGCTCCGGCCTTTTCATCTCCAGCAAAGTTACACTTGGTCACTGTGCCACCGTCCACTTTTGCTAAGGAGACTGAAAGCAGAAAAGTAACAAAGTTTATTTATGTAGCACTTTTCAGAAGCAGATGGTACAAAATGCCACAAGACGTACAAATAAATAACATACATACAAATCTCTTTTGTGAAATGACCAGCCCATCTCTCACAGTTGCTGTCTAGCTATGTTGGACAGAGGTGAATTACACTTTGATGGGGCACTAAATGGCACCAAATCTTTCATATTGTTGGCTTGCACATAATTCATAATTTTCTTGATGGGTTCCGATGCCTTTCTTGATGGACACAAGATCTTGATGGATAGCTTTACTTTTTGCTAAACCGTTAACTGTTGCTCACTGAACATTATCTTTGGGTATTATTGTTTTTACACTTGTTAAAGCACTTTGTAACTTGTTTTTGAAAAGTGCTCTATAAATAAAGATTATTATTATTATTATCTGTCTGCATCTGTAGCTAGCCGTGCAGCTAGCAGTCCAATTAGTTGACTCAGCCGTGAGGTGCCAAGAGCCAAACCCAGCAAGAAAACCACTGTACTGTACTCACAGTGGCCAAACTGGCCTCTGTCAGTCTCGGAGGCTGTGTTCAGTATGGTCCGGCTGTCGTGTTTACCCACTGAGAGCTACAACCAGTCCGCACAGAGTCTGCACAATGGGGTAGGGGCATAACATAACAAGTCCCTCCCTTTGTGTTTTTACAGTAATCCCTGTTTTTATATAATGTATCAGATTGTGTCTTTTTTTTCCTGTAGTATAACGGAATACAGTTACTTTTTTTTATCCTAATTGCGTAAATTACTTCCACTCTGTGTATCATGTAGGGCAGTGGTCAGCAATAGGCAGCCCGCCAGAATCGGCCCACCAGCAATGATATCTGGCCCGTGGCCAGATATCATTGCTGGTGGGCCCCATAGGTTTATGAATGCGGATCAAACGCTAGGCGCACACACACTGCAGCATGTGCCTTATTGTGAGCATGTGCAAAAGTGTCCTTATAATCAAGTAAAAATATAGGCAGTTAATTGGAATTGATCTTCCAGTCTTCCTAACGAGTCCCGCACAGTACCTACTGAGCTATACATGCCCGTGAGTATACAAGGATTTGAAATAATTTGACTTTGTTCTGTCCCGCCATCTAATGGCTTGAAAAAAATTTGGCCTGATGCCAGACTTATTTGCCAACCCCTGATGTAGGGACTACAAACTTTCTTTTTGTTAAAAAACCTTGTGTTGTATAATGATATATTAACTTATACAGTGACCTTGCTTATCGGCCTAATTGTTCAGTGGCCCACCAGGAAAACGCGTGTTACTCCCAGTGGTCAGTCCGCCCTTGGCATAGGGGATGCCGTGCATGCAGTGTTTTCTGTTAAATTTTGAATGGTGAAAACATGAAAGTAGCTAAGCAGTAAAAACAGTATGGCAATACAGACTCACATATGAAAGGACTATTCCCTCTGGTCTTCAGCCGCAGGTCCTGTCCTGTTTCCAGCTCTGTTTTATCCATCTCTGACTCTGGGTACCAGAAGGCCCAGGTCCCACTGGGTCGGTACTTATCAGTTATCTTCACCAGCTCATCTTTGTTCACCATCACTGACAGCTGCTCCTCAGATAAACGATCTGACTGCCCCTTAGCTTCCACTTCTGTATGGAAAGAAAATGTGCATAAACCAATGAAGTTTGAAAGAAATTAAAGGTGAAAATGAAGCACGTGCAAATAGAAAAATAGAAGCAAATAAAGAAAACAGCTTCATCAATTTGACAACAGCTGAGCAGAACTTAGTAAAAAGTGCAGCAGAACAACAAAACACAAAGACAGTCAGTCCACATTTGACATGTTGAAAAAGGATTACTTGCAATTTACCCTGTTGGAAAAGAGAAAGTGTCAAATTCTCGCCTGCCACGCGCGGGAGGCCCGGGTTCGATTCCCGGCCAATGCAGCGGCAAGTTTTAACCTTGTCGCATACCAGCTGAAACCACTCAGCTGTGAAGGAAACCCTAACGGCAAGCTTGTACAACGTGATACATCAACAACCGATCACAAATTCCTTGCTTAACTGCAAGCATCGTTACAAGAACAAGGTGCGGGTCCAGCCGAAATCGATTTTATCAGAAGTGGGATTCCCACCAACGCCCCAACGGGAGACTGCAAGTTGAAAGCAGCGCCTTAGTTTGTTCTGTGCCGCTCTGACTTGTTTCAGATGGTTACGTAACTTTCTGAGCCAAAATTTCAATCTTGCCCAAAATGAGACATTGGTTTGACCTCATCGTGGGCCAAGAGGAAAAGTCAAGGGACCACTAAAGTCAGCAGGATTCATCTTCTGCGGAAAACGAATTTCTGTACCAAATTTCCTCAAGGCTTGTTGAGACAGCATGGATAGCGACAACTCTCAAGGTGACTGAGAAAATATGTTTTCAGGGCTTTTAAGGTATGAGGACATGAAACTGGCCAGGTGTGTCTTCATCCTGACTTATTCATTAGGCATTGGAAATTACAGTTTATCCTGAAGGGAAAGTGAATGTGTGCGCCAAACTTCATGACAATACATCCAGTAGTTGTTGAGACATTTCACTCAAAATCACAAAAATCAATCTCATGGGGGCGCCAGAGAAAATACCAGTAACGATTCATTGTGGGGCTAGGGGAAAAGTTAGAGAAACACCATAGTCAGTATAACGTCTCCTCTGGGGACCATGAACGTCTGCACACAATTTGACGGCTTTCCGGTCACACCCGACTTGTTCATTAGGCACTGGAAATTACAGTTTATCCTGAGGGGAAAGTGAATGTGTACGCCAAATTTCATGACGGTGAGTGATTTCACTCAAAATCACAAAAATCAATCTCATGGTGGCGCTAGAGAAAATATCAGTCACAGTTCATTGTGGGGCTAGGGGAAAAGTCAGGGAATCACCGTAGTCAGTATGATGTCTCCTCTGGGGAATGTGAACGTCTGTACACAATTTGGTCAAGACGACTGAGAGAATTCAGTGGTAGAATTCAGGCCAGCTGAAAATTCCACCAGAAAGTGGCCGCGTGCGTTTTGAGGGCTTTTACTGTCTGAAGTATGTGGACTTGAAACTGGCCAAATACCAGGTGTGTCTTCACCCCGAAAGCGTGTCAGTCCAAATCTGACTTGTTCACTAAGCGGCGGTGGTCCAGTGGTAGAATTCTAGCCGCCACGGAGGCCAGCTGAAAATTCCACCAGAAAGTGGACGCGTCAGTTCCTACGGGGCAGCTTCATCGAGCATTGGTGGTTCAGTGGTAGAATTC